TTATTTTTCTCTTTGGTGGACCATTAAGTTAACTAATTATATATAATAGATAACTTTTTTTTGTCCTTTTGTCTTTTATGATTAGCGTACCCTACAACAGTGATGTTGAAAATTAATCAAACCCCCCCTTTTTTAAATTTACTAATGCGCATGATAAGTTTATAATTTCAAATGTTTGATCATTTTCGTGTAGACCCACATCGTTTGGTCTAAATCTTTGGGGTGTTTGATTGTCGTCTTGACCTATTATACGAGCATTTGGCAGTAGAATTAATGAAGGTGGACAGAGAGGCAAAGCACATGCAATATCATTTAGTTTTTGAAATATATATAGCCTGTTTTACGAAGAAATTTCGTTTAAATGAAAGAAGATGGACAAAATTATTGAGGGCAACGGGACCTGATTCCTGGAGATGATGGTAACCCCAGAGTTGTGTTAAATATGGCATGGGAGCAGAAACTTACCCAAGATTGTTTTTGGATTTTATATAGATTTTATGGACATATTTTCTTCTGGTTTATATAAGATGGGTCCCTTGACATATGAAGGAAATAATTTTCTAGGAGAAATTTTTATTGTAGATGGCTTTGGTTGGATTTGAAAATAAAGGAAAGAAGAGTGGATCAGAAATTGCAATGAAAATGACAAATTTAACGAGTTAGCTTGAGAGACAAGTATCTAAATTAATGAATGAGGCTGAGCAACGAGATGGTGAAAGAAAATAGTGTGTATTAATGTTGTTTTGTCTGCTACATTGGTGGGTGTCCGATACCGAACAATGCAATTTCACTCTCATTTTTATCTTGTTTTGTTGCTGGTCTAACATGGACTTTTCAGGTTTAATAATTTTCTGTTTTACTTTTTTTTAAAGATAAACAGCATTCAGTAGATGTATTTCAGATTTTCTTTGTGGGATTTCAATGCTCATGGACTGAGTTGATAAGGAATCCGATATGATTGCAGCTGAAGAATTTATGTATTCCAGCCTATGATACATTGACAAGGTTTGTTCACCTTTAGAATTATGTAAGAAAATGGAATTGTCCACTGACCTGAATCCTATAGTTTTAACAGTACCAGAAATCAATTAACGAAAAAATATTGAGAAGAGTGAAAAATGGCAATAAAATCAAGCCATATGATTGAAAGCCGAACCCAATATTTGACAAGGCCAGCCGAGGGTACATAGTATCGCACTCCAAGTTGCTGTACTGAACAAAATTTTGCCTACTGATTTTGAAGCTTGATTGTTGGAAAATACAAATTCATGTATTGCAATTAACACTTACCAGGGTTTTGTTCACATTCTGCTGATTGCTAACTTTACACAGCATATGAAATCATTATATATAATATATATTGATCTTTTCCTCGCTGTATTATCACAATAGCTCAGGTGAAAACTCTAATAAGCATAATCAAGACCGCACTCATTTTCCACAGTTGAATCCATGGCAAACAGAGAGCACAATAATGAGGATCAAGGCAACCAGTATTCCTAGAACAATCAGCTTGATCTTCATGTTTTGTAGCCACATTTTTCTTCGGATTTTCGTCCCAGTATTCCGAAAGTCTTGAGCCTGCAAATAATCATTTCAGGAAATCGTAAACATCAAAATTGTGCAGATACAAAGGAAACAGGTTAAAAGCATGTCAAGTTTAGCAGTTCTCTTGCATGCTCAACTAACATTTAATGCTACTAAAGTATTTCCATAATTTCTCATGTTTTTCTTTGGTAAAATAAAAAATTGTAGATTAATCTAATCTCGCAGATAAGTCCATATGTTGCAGAGTACTCCAGAGCCTAATCTCAACTCTCATATGTTGTCAATTGAAATACATACTTCCTTGAAGTTACTGCATGCTTAAATTTGTGTGAATATCTAACCGATATAAAGGAAGTCACGGACCTGTTGATGAAGGTTCTCAGTCTTATCCACAAGCAGCTCTATCTTTTCCCCTCTATCTAACACCTGTAGGAAGAAAATTTAGTAAATATTACCGACAGCATCTTTCTGGTAAGTTGGTTGATACCAAAATTGTTATCATAAATTAATATGGGAGCATTGCAATTTGCCAGAAATATTTCAGGATAACAACAACAAACAAAAGCATACCAGAAAATGATGAATTTGAAAAACCAACAAGACAATTCCAGACTGACATAGGATACTTATTTGCATTTTGCAAAACAAGCAAATAATTGAAAGTAATTGAAATTTTGGATCCGTCAAAATTTTTATAGACTCTTGAGGTTTAAAAGAGGAAGTACCATAAAAAAGTAAAGGATTATCATAAAATCTAATGAACGTGATTAAAGTCATCTTTCACCAATGTCTACATGCAAAAGATCAGCTTAAGAGCACCACAACAGCTCATACAATCTACTCTAGTGTTATTCCATCCATTTACAAATAGCTAGGGATGGATCTAGGATTGAACTATGACGGGGGGGGGGGCAGTTGATTAACTTTGAAACAATCAAGATCTTAAAAAGTAAATAAATCATAAAAATAAAAGGAGTTGGGATTTAATTTCACCAATTTTAAAATTAAGCATCAAAGAAAACATATCTACATTTCTATGTTCTCCATCATTACACCTTTGACTTCAGACACTTGTGCTTTGACCTTAGCAAGCTTGCTTATTTCTTCAGGATGCTCAACACAGTACTGCATATGTTCTTTTAGTTTTCGCCTGCAGTTAATAGCACGTTATATATGCCACAATAATAGGAAACAGATACCCCCTCCGATTCATTATTTTTATAAACAGTCATAGAAAGATACCCAAATTCCTTGTTCATGCTGTTGGCAGGAGCTGTAGCAGCCTTTCCACTACCATATTTTGACACAAAATCATCCTTGACACGCTCCAGAGATGCAATAGGTACTTGCCTTCCAGCCGACTCATCTGCAATAGGTACTGCATATGTTTTTTAGTTTTGGCCCGCAGTTAATAGCACGTTATATGCCACAATAATAGGAAAAAGATACCCCCTCCGATTCATTATTTTTATAAACAGTCATAGAAAAATACCCAAATTCCTTGTTCAGGCTGTTGGCAGGAGCTGTAGCAGCCTTTCCACTACCATATTTTGACACAAAATCATCCTTGGCACGCTCCAGAAATGCAACAGGTACTTGCCTTCCAGCCGACTCATCTGCAACAACACAAAATGCTGGAACATCGGAAATATTAGCAAATAGACCAACAACGTACGAAAAGGAGCAATCAATGAGAATGAATATACAGTGAAAGAATCCCCCTCCCCTTTTCCGTTTCGCCATTAATGTGGAATGTGGATTGCAGGGATGATAATAATATGAATATACTTCCACAAAATAAAAAACACACACACCCCACACTTTGCACAGGAGCCTCTCAACAAGTTAAATATTGCACGATCCTAGCACTCCGCATATAAGGAAAATAATGGTAAAACTTCAAGATTTCCATAATAAACCCTCATTTACAACGCAATCAATTTGAGTAGTTCCAATGATATATGCACTGCACAATAACTATAGTTGAAGTAAAAATAACAGCAATTAAGCAAAATGATCCTATATTCTCCCATTTCTACCAAGCAGATTTCTCATAAATAATGGGACAAACAAAATCCAAACTTTTCCTCTAGGTCGTGAATCCCATTTCTTTTCTCGCCAAAGAAAATCATACTCAAGGTAAGGGAAATAGAGGAAAAGCCCCAAAACGTTCTTCTCTTTCCCTTTCCAATCATTTCCTAAATACCCAAACTCTAAAAACGAAGAACCCAAAATTTAAATTTCTTGAACAAGAACAAAGAAACAGAACTTAACTGTAGCCATTGTCAACAAGGTAATTGAAGGTGTGGCCATCAAAGTTGTAAGTGAACTTGTTGTTAGAAGAAGGAAGCTTTTGGAGGCATTGAAAGGCTATGGAGTTGAAATTCCCGCTGAATTCAATGTACTCTGCTAAGATAACTTCCCCACGTGATACAAAAGCATATATCAATGATTTCTGCACCATTTTCTTTCGAATTTTGACCTCCGAAGAGAAAGCAAAGAGAGGTGGGATTTCAGACTCTCTCTTGATCTTTCTATTTCTACCTTTGTTTCTCTTAACAATCACTCCTGTGTTACTGTTGGCTTTTTGTTTTTCTTTTGTTTTTTTTTTGTTTTTTTATATATAAAAATATTAGCTTAATAAACTATACTTAGTTTACAAATTATCTCTTAAATTTTCTTTTTCAATCTTTTGATCCTCTAATATTTAATTTTATTATCATTTCCTAAAACCGTTAACCTCCGTTAATTTTTTTGGCCAATTAGATTGTCTCAAGTGTCACATTTGACTAAAAAATACATCTAATTTTAATAGGGGTAAATGACATTCTAAGTCATTCATGTTTTCTTTTTTGTTTAATTTAATCTTAAATTGATCTCTATTTATTTCTAAATTTTCTAACTTAATCCCATATTTGTTTATTTTACTAATCTATATTTTATTTATATTTTTAAGTGAATGATTTTAATTTCATTTATACAAAAATGTGATAATTAACATTTTTAATTAAATACAATTTTTATTATTAAATTTGATAAAATAAAAAAATTATTTATATTAATTAAATAAGCTCAACATTTTCAGAATATGACACCCACCATTTTAATTAAAAGCCTTCTATTATTATTGTTATTGTGTCAATTTGATACCTTTCACTTTTATTATCAAACCATGAAGACCAAATTTTCTGCATAATTTGATCTGCAATATGAACTTCAATGCCGTTTTAAGAATTAGCAAGCTGCCGAATGATGATGGGCGTCACATATTGAGGGCCACCATCCAATGCCAGAATTAAGTTGGCCTTCTCTGTTAGATGGAATGCATCCCAAAACTACTATTGAGTTATGTCTAGACAAACTCGCAATTTTACATAATATATATATATATATATAACCACAAATGCCAATGTATTCTCTTTTCAGCTTTATTAACTGCCACCACTTCTGTCTTCTTCAGACTTCACAAGATATGCCTCAGTATCCTTGTTATGTTTCTAATCGCAAAATCGTGGTGACTGCGCTGGCAAAACCATAAGGCACTGCAACAAGGGTACAGGTTACCACGGGAAAAGTTCATTAAAAGCTTTGTTCATTGCCATTCCTCAATTTCGAAAGCGTCTGAAAAGGGAAATAGTCTTTTTGATCTTTCATATAGTTAATATGTTTATCAAATGTTCAACCTTCAAAGCATGTCATAATTACAACTGACCATTGGAAATGGTAAGGTCTCAGTCTAAACATCGAGGCAGGGAGAGTACAATTTTGAAAATCCCAGAGCGGGCAATGTAGAAAGGCTTAATCGAGAATAAGTTTCAGCATATGCATAAATGAAAGAAAGACGAAGGAACCAGCAAATGTTCTTTTAACGATTGAAGATGTAAATAACAACTTTAAAAGTCATCTGGTCATCAAGAACCAGTCTTCTGTTTCAAGAGAACTGATAAGTCGTATAAATTCAAGCTGAGAGAAAGATCTGCTTCCTGTGTCAGGAAACAGAAGTATAACTCTTTAGCACTTCAAAGATCTGTGATGTAATTTTCGGGCTTATACCATAATGAGAAATCGATTCCTTTACTCTTCAGTTTCTCCGTCGCAGGCGCAATCCTCTCCAAAGCCTGCACTTCATAGTAATTGAATAACATACCATTTAGTTATAACTGATGCACAATAAGATTTTGGGTCTTATCTTGCTTTCTCCAACACCATAGAAAAATTAGAAGAGTTGAACCTTGGCATGAATTGCACCATTAGATACCAAAACAGATCTATCAAAGACACAAAATTTTCCACCATCCATCCGAGTCACAGCGCCACCAGCTTCTTCAACTATCTGATTATAAAGAATTAAAACTTCTAAATATAAACAGCTGAATCTGAGCAACCCTCATTCAACAAACTTGTGTTAATTATCACCATAATTTTTCACATAAATTTGAATGAAACGATAAAGAACAGTTTGGTGGCTTAATAAGTTTAAAGCAATTTGAAGTATTTCGAGGCTGTTTTCCTATATTCCAAGGAAGCAAAATAGGTTTGCTGATTGTTATGTTGAATCCAACTTCAACAGCATCAGGACTGAAACCAACATCAATTTTAACATTTTTAGCAGCTCAGTATTCCTTAAAGTAAAAGAAGGAAAGAATTGTGAGTTATTAAGTTTTACCAATACACCGGCCGCCATATCCCATGGTTTTAGACGATATTCCCAATACGCTTCTGCTACTCCAAGAGCTACATGACACATGTCCACAGCTGCAGCACCAAGCCTTCTTACACCCTAGTCATTGAAATTCAGGAAAAAGTTAAGAAAGAAAAGGGGTAAAGCACAAGCTCCGTAATTTTGGGAGACAGAGCTTATGAGCACAGAAATGTCATTTAAGGCTCATACTCTACTAATGTCAGTAAATTCCTTGAATAATTCGATGTTGGTAATCCATGCATCGTCATGTTCATATCCAAACCCAGTCACAAAAAGAGATTGCTCCACCTGTAAACAAGTATTTCTTAGAAAGATGTCAAAACATTTCTCCTTATCATAAGCTTATTGAAAGTAGGAACCATCATTTTAAAAGATATATTTTGCAAAAGCATAGGGTAATCAGTTCAATATTCAGATATATCTAAGACTCGTGCCTCTGAAAGTCTACTGAAGCAAAGTAATATCAAATACTTCCATAGAAAATATTAAGGGGCACATAATCATTGACTCCCAACAATATTTATCTGACCAGAATGCATACAATGTATCATGTTCAGCCAGGTCACGTATATTGAAGTAAAAAAAAAACAACTTTTCAGTAGAGAATAGTACCATCTACTCATTATATAATTCACAATATATTTGATGGTTCAATTCAATGTGGCCTCTTACCTTATCCGTTTGACTGGGATGGATTTTCTGACCGTTACAAAATGCTCCCCCACCTAGAACCCAAAGCCTCAATTGGTTAGCCATTAACATGGGCATGAACCTTAAAGAGTTTTAACTAGTACCATGTTTCTTACCAGCAGTAGCAGTAAATGTACGGGTATTCCAACACATAGGTCCCCCGACAAATTCCACCTACAGGTAAAAGAGCACTAATGTTATCTTTCCTTCTTACATCAAGGGGGGGGGGGAGGGGGAGGGAGAGCTGATTATGTAACTTCAATACTCAATATTCTGCGAGTGATCAAATTTTCAATACAAAATTAACTAAATCAAAGATTTAAGTAAGAAAACGATACCACACTGGCGGCGGCAGGGTTTCCTTGAAACAGAACGCCCACTGAAACTGCAAAGCTAGGGTAACAGTGTGCAAAATTTGTTGTTCCATCTACAGAAGGTAGCAAAGTCAAACCAACTTTGCACTTATATCTAAAACTTATATTAACTACTAATACAAATAAGCTGGGGAATTAATAATGGATATGAATCATGAAATGCTCAAGCACTTCTGAAGGTAAGACTCGATAAACATATAGACTGACAACATAACTCCCAAGTTCCAGAATATATTTCTCCAACACTTTATAGAATATGAACATATAGACTGCCTTGGCTAAAATAAACCAAGGGATGAAAGAGACAAACCTAAAGGATCAATACACCATAGATAGTCTGATGAGGTATCCCCTATAATTCCTCCCTCCTCCCCAAGGATCAGGTGATCTCCAAAATTCTTTTTTACTACATCAAGAATAGCAAGCTCACTCATTTTATCGGTGCTGTAGATAACATCATACAATAAATGTGAGCAAAAGATAGGAACATAATAAGTATATAGCAAACTTAATAACGTTTCAACATTCCAAAAAGAAATATATATTCCCTATGCTAAATTCATAAAATAATCAATAAGATGATAGTAAAAATAAAACACAAGGAAGAAAACTTATAAATAAATTTCATGTCAAGGTTGGTCCGCAAGGAGTAGTAATATGCAAACTTTTAAAGTTAAGATGCCCATGTCTGTTGCTTGAAGGTAACAAAGGTTTAGGGTAAACTATGCCATTCACTTTCAAGTTAAGTCCATTGAGAAAACCAAAAGGCAAACTTGTGGTGTAGAGAATGATAATAACATGGATCATTTTTGCTTCCAAGAATATGAATAAAAAAGCATCCTAAAAAGTTGTTTTTCCCTGAAATAAATTATTCAATCTATTTACTTTATAATGTTTTAAGCATTTAATTTCTCCTCCCAATATGAAAGCAAAGTTCAATACCAAAGTTCTGACTTCATAGTTTACATTATGAAAATTGCATTATATCATTCAGGAAGAAGATTATTACAACCAAGCACAATCCCAATGCAGTTTGATAAATCAACCTGTAATTATCTGGTCATAATTTATCAATGGCCGTCCTTCCCCCTCTATACCAGCATTTAGGAAACAGCTTAAATTGAGATAGGAGCATAAATATAAAATCTCAATAAGTAATAAATCTTTGAAAGTCCTTACTCGGTTACCAAATCAGTTAGTCCTTTATATGTGATATTTCTTGGTTTGTTGACAGCTTCCATCACCACCTGAAAGAAAAGGAAGATATTTATTAAAAAAAATTGAATTTTGAAAAGTAAAACAAAAATGTAAAGACATAAACGAATATTTTAAGGGAGACCAACCTCAGCGCCAGTTCTTGCAGCAGCCTCGACAACTTCAATGAGCTGAGATGGAGGGATTGGTCCAGTTGATTTGGCACCTACTTTAGGATACCGTCTCTGGTTAGAAACCTCTGATATCGAGGCTCTTATGCATAAGTTTCTAGGGGAATTCTTGTTCAAAGTTTCAATTTTTTGATACCCAAATGAAGAATTTGCAATAAATTCGTGAGCTTGGTACCGATTTGGGAGAATCCGAGGTGAAATTGATCTGGGTGTTTGTGAAAATCTGAGAGGAATATTGGTGGAGAAAACTAAAGACCTTCCCATTTTCTTCTTTTCGATGTTAACAGAGAACCCAAAGGCTTTGCCTTACGAAATTGTTAACTATTTTTTCCGAGGTTGTCTTTGTAGTATAGTTTGCAGTTACTCCTTCTGAGCCTCAGGCACCGGATGACACATCTTCTATTCAACTTCTTGTTTTTGAGTTTAATTGTGATTGTAGTCCCTGTAACATCCGCACATATGACATTTAATCTTTCTACTTTAATTTGGAATAATTTAATTCTCCATTAATATAATACTATATGTAGTTTCTAATGTTGTTTCTTTTTTAAAGTAATGTCACAGATTTCCTTTTTACAATTATTTGATTATATGGTCAAGATTACATAAAAATTTAGTCAATTAGATTCAACAAGAAAATTAGATAGCAATCAAATGTTTTTTTTAAAAAAAAAATTAGACCAACTATTGAAATTATGTTTGGACCATGTACTTGCAACTCAATATTCATCTTTGACACTCTTCTCCCAGAACGGGTCATTACACCATTCTTATGTTGAATTCCAATATTTCTAGAGAGAACACGGGAAGTCTTCTTGGTTCTGCTAAAGGAAAAGAAAATGATCATTCTCTCTAATTTAGCGAAATAACAATCTAGAAGACGGGAAGAAGAATAGAAGATGCTTTGTTTTGTATTACTATATTAGGCTGTCTCTTCCTCATTTTCATTGACCTTCTGGAAATCAATCTAAAATTTCCTTTCTTTGACTCAGGCGGAGGAAAAAATAACACAACGAAGAGGGAAACCCAATTTGCCACATATAATAACCCAACAGGCTGATAAGAAAGAATGCAGCAGTTGCCAAGTACGAAATCTGATAACTTGATCAATTCAACTATTTGCCGGATACCATTGCATGCTTGTTAATTATACTTCAATTTTCTCGGATTCTCTCAGGATTTCGGTTTTATAAGATTTCAAAGCTTGTTTGATCATGAGTTACTACAATCATCAACAAGCTCCAGGTAATTTTTTAACAATGAAAATTGCTACAATTCATCCTACATAAATGTCTGGTATATATTATTAGAATGAAGAAAAGTTTTAGTTAAACTGACGGATTCCTCCGGGCCTTGTAGTGGTATATCCTCCACCTCCGGCGGCTCAAGTTTATCCTCCTCCGCAGCCGCCTCAGGCTCAACCGTACTATCCTCCTCCAGTCCAGGGTCCGTATGTTGTCCCACCGCCTGTTGTTTACCCCATGAAAGCTGGAGCCGGAGCACCCCACCAACGCCCACAACCTGAAGAAACTAAACGTAGGGGAAGTGGATTCTGCAGAGGATGGTAAAGCCTGATATTTTGTTCACTCTCTTTCCTATATGCACAAACGTTGGCATAGATTGTTTTTAATTAATGGAATTGTTTTTGTTTGTTAATGGCTGATGATACAGTTGTGCTGCCTTGTGTTGCTGCTGCCTCCTAGATTGCTGCTTTTGACCGAGGACTCATCTTATCTATTTGCATCTCATCGCTTTCTTCTTCTTCTTCATTTCGTTTCTTTTTTTTTTTAAGGATTCCTTCTTCCATTTCTTGCATTATATGTAATTCCTGCTCTCAATACTCAATAATACGATCTTTTTCTTTGAATTTCCTCATAGAGTTTATAATTTGGTACTCTTTTAATCCAACCCATAGTATAAAGTGATAGGATTTACCCCCTGCTTAGCAAGTGATTAAGACAATTAATAAGGTTGTTTCTCCATGTTTTACTCTTAAGCAATGATTGAGAGAGTAATGAGACAATGGATCATCACTGTTATAAAACAAAGGTTAGTCCCGATTCTCCAGTAATACCAAGTGTGTTGGGTTAGTTGTCGGGCTTAAATTTCATATATAAATGTAAGTGGATTTGGACCTAAGTTTCTTTAGTACCCTTCCGCAGTAGCTTAACTTGGGCTGTCAAGATATCTCCAGCTCATTCGTATATTTTTTTTCTTGTATAACTAAATGTATTTAGTTTATTGACTGATTAGTTAAAATTTATTATTATAAGATTCATGATGTAAACAGCCCTTATAATTTAGTTTATTTCATTTATAAAATCAATATTTAAATCCTTAATAATATTTAAAAAATATAATCTCGTAGTTCATTAGATCATCTAATACTTAATAACTCATCTTATTGTTACTAAACTAATTTTCTTACCAATATGTTAAGATTTAATGTTAAGAAGATAAATTTATAAAATTTTAAGTAGCGGAGAATTTATACAATTTTAGAGAGAAAAACATATTTTTAATAAAAATATAAAAATATCTAAATTACACAGGAATTTAAAATTTTTAGGTAGATGACCGCCTTAACCTGCATTTTCTTGGACCATCCTTATTAACATATATAATATGAGAGAATCAATTAATCATTTCCTACACTCTTATTTAATGATATTTCGATTTTATTATATTTGATTTAACCGATTGAATATAATTACATATATATATATATATATATATATATATATATATATATATATATATATATATATATATTATTTAGGGCATGAGATGTTTTTTTTTCTCACATATTAAGGTTTTTTTATACTTATTATTTCGTAAGATTTCCAACTTGATTCTTTGAAAATATATTTTAATTTTTTATTGACGTACTAAAATATTATATCATCTGAAAAACTTGAAATATACGTTTCTAAACAAAGATGCAATACAATTATAAGGTATCATGCCATTATACGAATAAAAAATCATAATTCAATACACAAATTAAAATGATTTTGAGTTTGAAATTGATATAGTCTAAAATAATTTTAAAAAATAAATTAAAAGATGAATTAATACATCAAATTATTATGCAGATCCTCTCATGCTATCATGCTAACACATTCAAAACAACTGTTAGCTAATATATTTATTTAAGCTTCCATTATCTTTTAACAATGACATAATACTAACATTGACATACTTTGTGAAAATGCAGATAAGACAAGTTAGGAGTTTAATTTTTCCAATGAATAAAATGGATGGAAAGGTCAAAGGGAGCAGGCAAACCCCTCTTGGTGTTAACAGGTTGGTTGCTGTCATTTCCATGTGCAGCAAACTAGCTAGCTAGCTTACCTACACTTTGATTTCCAAATAGTGAAATTCAATCAACAATCCCCTTCTTCTTCATCTACTTGACAATCTGTAAGCTTCACAAATTCTGTCTAAACAAAAGGGAAAACTCACTCATCCACATATATGTATGCTTTTAGTAATACTGGGGGAAATATAACAAATGGAGAAAGCCTTTCTGGTATATGCACATATATATTTTCAGGGTTAAAACGTTATACATCGAACAGATTTTAACACGTGAGAGGAAGATAACATTTCTTTCTTAATTAATGAAAACTATAGAGGTCTGAAAGAGAGGGCTTGGTAACTAAAAGGGTTTCATTTCTGTTCATAATATTTGAACAGAAATTCTAATAACTCATGTGCGGAACAAACATAAGGCATCTGGAAGCCTATCTTGAAAGAAACATAAGCTGCATTATCAACACAAGTGGGACCAAAAAATAATAACGAAAAAAAAAATATTTTTAAATGCTACAAACCATTTTAAATTCATACATTGGTAAACCTAACGAAATTAAGACTCATCTTACTTTATGTACACTCCCCTACGGAAGGAGTCTCACGGAGGGCATTTCATAATTCGGAGGTCTCTTACGAAAGCTGTTCTCAATCTAACGTTGGGGACAACCTACTATTCTACCTCCCCTTATCCCAAGGGTCATCTAATTTTTTTTTACTTTATGTACACTCGCAATCAAAACAACCACATCGCCTACTTTAATTTTACCATACAATTCTTTTTTTTATTTATAATTAAACAGAGTTTGCAGTTTCAATATCATTTAGTCATTGAGATAGTTAAATTATAAATTTATTTTTCTTACTTAATTTATAATATTAATATTAATAAAACAATTTCTTTTTCTTTTTCTCTCATATTTAATTATACTGGTAAAATATATTTTTACTTTCTAAATTTTTTTAAAATCTTTCTGAGCATGCATAGTAAGGGAAAAGGGACTTTTCTTCGCATTCTCTTGTCTTTTATTTAATCGATCATTATTCTATGGACAGTATTGGCAAAGCCTAGAAGCTAAATTACAAAGGATAACCATGTGAAGCGTTCCATTAATTAATCAGAGCTATTAAAAAAAGGTGAGTGGTCCTTGGCGTTCCATTAGGGCTTTGTCTATATGTCACTGTTTGTCAACCCCGCAAAGACACAAGGAACCACCCAAAGCTAAAGACAAAAACCACGCCTCTCCTTCCTGTACTGATTCCACCAACCTGGCCAATACATACCCTTCATCTTTATAATTTATATAATTTTATTGAAGGGACCAAAAGCTCACTAAGCACATGCCAACCGCCTTTATCTACACCCGCCTGCTTAATGTTCTCTTACAAAAACACTCCAAAAAATGATTTATTTTTGCTTTTATAATAATATCAGTTATGCTCTTTGCTTTAGGGTAAAGTACATATGGATTAAAGCATTGCATGCTTGCTTTTGAACCATCAATGTCCTGTGCCCTTTGCTTCTATAAAGCAGGAACGAAGCTAAATTATCACCTTCATAGATTAAGGGATAATTCATATAAGTTTTTAAAATAAACCAACTTTTGATTGGTTAATGTATGGTAGGTAATTGAATTCAAGGGCTTGGTTTGTTTCCAAAGAGACTTTTAAACAAGTTGATCATTTGCTAATTTTTAGTATTTGGGATTTTAAATTTGAAAAAACTTAATTAACTGGATGTAGTAATTAGTTTTAAAAGTCCAACTGCTCCCTTGTTAATGTAATTTATATCAACAAGTCGGTGTCAATAGCTGTAAAGGAGCAAGAGCCTCCATTAAATACACCCTCTATGACACAGTGCAAGAAGATGGAAGAGGTGCATTAAATTATATAAGATTGCAGATGAGAATCACGACGGATTTGGTAGCATAAAAACACGCATGTCTCTCGCACCTCTCCGGCCCCTTTGTCAAATCTTTAGGTATATATGAAAAAGTAAAACCCTTCTGCTTCACATCTTTCCTACCCTATATAGAGCCTTAATTTCCAGCAAAAGGGAAGAACCCCCCCCCCCAATTCAGTACATTCCGGCTTTTATTGTTTCTCTGGTATATGTTGGCTTGAGAGGTTGAAGCTGCCAGCATGATCTGGTAATGAACCTAGTTATCACCCTTTATTTTTCTCCTTTCCTGGTTTTTTTTTTTGTATCTATTGATGACAGATACCCAGTGTTGAGTAGATTGTTTATGACCAGTTTTAGATCAAAATTCTTGAGTCCAAGATGAGCTTTTCAGGACATGTTTATCATCCATTTGTTTAAGGCCTTTTAGATTGTCAGACAAAGAAGTTAGATGTGTTTGTAAGAAATCATGCTAGAACTTTAGCTTCATATATAGATTCTGGTTCATACTATCAGGTCATCTTGCAGCTTCAATCACTCACTCACCAACAAAAGATCTCTCATTCTAGCTACATATCATATGGATACTTGATAATTTGTGCTCTTTCACTCTCTTAGACCTTCATTTCCAGGTAATTCCTCTATGCTTGGCTAAAAAAAATTCACTTCTTAAATGAACTTTTCCCTGATTGATTTTGTGAGAAATTTTGCAGTTATCTGTCAATGATATGTATTTTTCTTAACCCTATACTCTCTTTCTCTTCTATCTCATTATGGCTTGCATATATTATTCACCACATGAAACAACATGCACAAATCTGCGCATTCAACTCAATCGTGGTGCCTGCTAGACCTCTTATTATATACCTAGATAATTTATATTTTTTCCGAGGAATAAATTAAAGATGATAATGTTGACTCTGCACAGTTTCTTGTGCTGTTTTGCATGCCTGTGTGTGCAACTTTGTCTACACTTCCCTGGTGGTATCCATAATCATCAAGTAAAACAAAATCACATTACACACGAAAGACATGATTGATGATCAGATTAATGCACAGTACGGTTATATAATATTGTGATAGTGGTGTATCAGCTGTTCCAACCGTATATATTCTTGAGTTTTGATGCTCCCTCATAGTTACCACAGTACCTTTTTCATACTGCTTTAAAAGATGAACTAGAATTCAATGGGGAGACAAAAGTAGCTGTGATCTGGTTGCTTCTTTTGCCTCGTCCCAACATACTGTTAGGGGATCAGTTTGACTTTTCTTTCCCCACCAATTTGAATTCACAATTTCAGTATAGTAATTACCATTTCACTCGGAGAAGGATTCTATGGATGTAAAACAGAAATATACATCATGGAAGCTTGCATATTATATGCCCTATACATGTGAAATGAAATGATTGTATTTTTTTCTTCCATTCGCATATAATCACCGTAGGAAAGTGTTTGATGTACTGTGGCCTCCATAAGAGAACCAACCTCATGTTTGAACCTAACTAGTTTACAAATTTTGTCTCATTAATGAATTTGTATGAAAATCCGTGATTTAATTGGAATCAATGAGATATTTACTTGCAGAATATAAGTTTTGAACAACTGATCATTTTCCATGCTTTTATTTATCTTCTACATGATCTTTAATGGTTTCTCTTTTAGTTACCATTTCTTCTATGGGGTTTTCAAGGTCAGCTTCCAGGCTAATACTCAACCCTTGTCATTTCGTTCCATTAGGGATATGCAGCAATATCTGACTGGCTGCATGCAATATTGTTTTTAACAATATTCCGAGTTGATAACTTTTTAGAGTTTTTATTGAAGTGCAAGAATTGTATCCAGGGTTCCAAAGGCTTCAGACTCTAAGTATTGAAGCCATATCTAGACTCGTAGAATTAACCCGAGCTAATGGTTTATTTAGTTAAATCAGGCAAGTTATTTATGGATTAAAACAATACCCATTAACTATAAAAAATGGGTAATTAGGTTTATTAGCAATGAAATGACCAATATTGCTTACAGTGTACATACACACTGAGTAAAGAGAGCAACGACAACGAGTGTTGACTCAGGAGCCTTATTAGGATCTTAAGTTGCTGCTTAATCTAAATGAACTCAAACAATCCATCTTTGTTTTCCTCACTTCGTATACATTTATTTATATATCATTTAATAAAGTACCATTAAAACTTTTTAAATTTATAAGTGAAATATGTTATTTTTAATTAATATTTAAAAAAATAAAAAAAATTAAATGAGAGTTAAAAAGGTATAAAATAATAATCCACATATATGCTTATGTTATTCTTATCTTTTTTTTCTTCTCATTCATGATTTTATTTCGTTCTTGTTAAGTCGATTTGATTTCAGAGATGCATATATATGCACAGAGTTTTAATTTGGAAAAAATGATCTTATGTGATGTCTTCTTTGTTGGCTACAACATGTACGAAAGATTATGAAGTTAAGCTTTTACGTGAAATGAACACAATTTCAATATCGTACTACTTTGATTTTTGTACTGATCCATGATCCATCATGTTGATGGTTTATTTGATATTTTTTATATTATTTTTTCTAAATAAAAAATCAAATGTGATCATTAAGTTAACGATTGAATTAATAGATATTTATTTTCTGTTTTTTATTAAACAAATTTAATTTTAAAATTTTGTGGCTACTTTAATTATAAGAAAAGGTATTCCACTATTGGAGGGCAATAATGGTTGTGGACTTAGTTTTGTATCATTTGATGAGTTAAACCTACCCTACTCTTTGTAGCTGTTTTAGCTTCTTTCTCCTGTTTTCTTGGAAATATCTTCATGCATCAAATCCAGCCAATTTCACACCAGCAAACATCCTCGATAGTATATATTTTATGCATATTAATTATAGCGGTTGATTTATTTTTGGTCATATTTGAAAAGGATGGCAACATTTGCTAATGTTATGATTCATATCTTATCTTAGTGCATACTTCATTTTGCCCGGAATAATAAAGGAAAGAGTGAAGCGGCAATGCGGCATTGATTTCCCATAAAATATCTTGTAAAGCACGGATCAGAATTTCGAGAAAAAATAATGCAAACGCAATGGGAATACCAGTTAACTGCAATGGTTTTGGGCAGACAGTCAGAAATGTAACTCTTGTTCTTTGTCAGCCTGTGTAAGAAGTCGATTCAGAAAATACCTGAAAACTATCCTGAATATCAAGACAAAGGGGGTGAACCCTGTGCTATCAAGGCGTAGATTCATCATAAACATATTGTTTGAGAGTGCTTTATGGTGCACCAATTCGACAGAGAAACACGAACCAAAGAAATATCTAGCCACGACACTTCCTAAACATTTTATTATATAGTATAATGCATACATGTAAACCTAGCATTGTATTTACCCAATGATTAGGGGGGTTGGGGGAGATAACATAATTCCCCCAGGTAAACCTCAGTCCGATACTTACAGTTTTCTTTTATATATATGATTAAGGAAGGCACACACATCGGAAGCAATAACATAAATAATTGTGTGACCTGATTTTGATAGGATGATATTTCCAAGCATTTTGCCTCTATCCCATTATTCCTTCACTTCAGGTCCTTGATGCTGCAGAAGGAATCCGAATATTTTCTTCGTTTTGGTTCAGCCTCACCTAACTCCAGCGAGACATAGATCTCCTCATCTGATCCATTCCTTAATGCTGAAAGATTTCTAGATTCCATGTTTTCCCGTTGGTTATTAACCGGAGACTTTCCATTGAAACTGGGAATAAATTGATGTTCCACGTTAGGACCTCCTTCGGTCCTATCTTCTGTTCGATATTCAGTACGCATGATTGGTAGTACAAGTCCTTGCCAGGACTCACCTTCAGCCAAAACTTGCCGGATATTTAAATTAATCGGTTGCAAATTCTCTTCAATCTTATCCTTAGATGGAACCTGAACCAGAGGAGAAGACTCCCCAACTGTAGAATCAATCCCACCTGCGGATGCATTTCTTTGATCTTGCACAGCAGCTTCGTCAATAACAAAGACAACTAGACAGTGTCAATGCTACAGTAAGATATCAGATGCAATATATATATAAACCATCAAGGCATGAGAGGCCCTTTTCCGCACTTTCTTTTCCACTCCATTTACACTTTATTGTGCTTGTGGCTTCAGAATCTAAAAACTATTTGGTTATATATTATCATTCAGCAAGTGTTGTAATTTATTTACTGTTTATCCTTTCTTTTATAACCATAACAAATGTAACTTTCATTTCAACATGTAATTTGTTCAGCTTGAATTATAGTCTGCAACACATTGTAGTTAAACTGGATATTCATTCATGAGCACCGTCAGACGGAACTGACCAGAGAGCTACGAACTGGAAAAATTACAGATTGTTTTAAGGAATACATACCTTGAAGCCCTTCGCTGGTTGTGATGAGATCAAGTTCAAGGAGATCAAGAAGACGCCCAAGATCGACTCCACTGGTCCAATTTTCTGGGGGTTGGCCGACTTTGAGTTTCAACCGGCCTCTGTTAGCAGTCCCACCCCAAATGATCCCAACAGGATGTGGTTTCTCCCCTTTCTGATCCGTTAATAGTATGAGGCTTCCACTGTCTCCTTCGAGGTCAAAAGTCTGCTGGTTCTCACCAACAACCAGGAAATCAGTAAAGAAACAGATTCCTTTCTCATCATTGTACTCTAAAGCATATGCCATTATCGTCCCGGTGGTCAAGCCAGAGCTTCTTCCCACTTTGACAACTTGCCTTCCAATGAGACTGCCGATTGGAGACTGCAAATCTATGATATGAACATCACCAATCTCACCTATCCCTTTTATAGAGGTAGTTACCTTGTTCACATTGAAATCATCAGCAAAAGGAATAAAAGCCCCATCAGCTCGCACAAATGTTTCTGCCGGAGGACCAAACCGTAAAGGGTATGTAAGGGAGTCAGCGCAATAAAAAAGAAATCAATTAAAACAAATGTAAAGTTAAACATAGCATGCTCCAGGATTCAGAAACTTCTTATCTCTTTGCTGAAATTCAAACACTACATCCTAGCATCCTGATCCAAGTTCAATTTCTCACAGTTTTTCGGCTTAAATTTTCTTATGCAATGGCCAATGGCAGACAAATAAAATTGGAACTGCATTACCTGGGTTTATGCCGGCAAAGATTCCATACCAAAGGTCATCTGTGATAAATGAGGTTGCCCTCTCTACAGCACCAAGGTACACTCCGGGACCAAGGTTGGGCGGTAAAGGATGAAACATCTTCTGACTTGGGTAGTCCAAGTCAACAGCAACATGCCTATTTGTAAGGAAACCTACCTGTCGATTTCCTGTTCGGCTCCTCACAATAGCACCCAGTGTTCCATATGTCTCTTGGCTGGCAACCTACGTGCACAAGGAGTAACCGAGTACAAGACAAGTTAAGAGATACATCAACATTTCTCAAAATGTTCAGGGCACAGTACAAGAGGGGAAAATTTCTTTTTTCCTGGAAAGGATTAAGAATATAACTCAAATATAAGCCGTACAGATGATGCTAGAAAAAGATACCAAGCAAATCTAGAAAGAGAACTCAAGCTTGATGTTGTTGAAATTTCTTCATATCTAAGACTGAGAGATAGATGATTGGTTCAGTCCCAGGTGTAGCATAAATCAATCCTTAATAAAGCATACCAGCTTAAAAGCTTCATCAATATTTTCAATATAAAACTTCAATACTCTCATGTTAATTATCAACGTGACAACTTCAATTTTACAACTTAATGTAAAACCAAGTAAATGATTGCATACTTATAGAGAATCACTCAAATGGCTAATTAAAATTTTAAGGAAACAAAAGAGAGAGTGGCTCTTTCTCAGAAATGAGCATTCTTTCCCCATGTTGTTATTAAGACAGCAAGCAAATAGTCTGCAGACTAGATTGTTCTCAGAAACAAATAAAATGTGGCAAGCTGCATTTGTTACTAGATTGTTCATCCCATAAGAAAAACAGTTTAACCACATCCTTGAAGATATTAAGATACAATAAAATCATAGATGCCCTTTTCCGTTTAATAAATCCATATATTTTAGGCAATGCATGTCTTCAACTGCCCATCAAATCACCAATTTGTACGTACTTAATAAGAACAATTACCTGTGAACCAGAACCAATGACTGGATCACTTCCTCTAAAGCAATCTACAAGCTCGGTATATAATTGTTCTTTGGGAGTTGCCGCAGGTGCACCATAATAAGAAAATTCCACAACATCTACATCACACCACACACCTCCCGGGCCCTGACACAATATTTTAAACAAACATTTTAACTTCTCCAACCAACAAATAAGTGAATTCAATGAATGTTAGTCATACATTTGAAATTTCTTGCTCAGATCCAATATGCCTGTTAATAAACTTTTCAAACCATCAACAATTCATAACTTTAAAAGAATCAACCTGACATAAAATAGAGAACTTCCCACGGTATTTTACCAGCACATTAGCAGCTATAGAAAAAAAATGGAGTTTCTGTTAAAGCAGTGAAGCAAAGACCATAACTTGCCTCAAGAGCAGCAGGTAAGCATTGAAACTGGCTAAGCCATTGCCTGTGAACTTTACGAGCCACAAAGACAAGAATTGCAGGTATATCCGTCAAAACGCCCTGTCGGATACGGAACCCAATAGCTGTGCCAAGACTAAAGCTACGCAGTTTTTTACTGTGAAAAGCTCGTATGGTCATTAACTCAAGCAAGGTGGTTGCTTGCTGCCCCGACGGTAACCGTCCAAGTGTTTCTGGCAACACCCCTTTCTGTAGGTTTCCAAAATAGTTTGCTCTACCTTCTGCTGCGTCAATTAATCGACTAGAAGTAGGCCATGAGAAGTAGGCAGCATTGCTCTCAGAATGCTGAGCACTAGATGCAAAGGGTTGAATAGGTGAGGGACTTGATGAAGGCAGATTAACATGATTGCAGCAATTTCTTTCCAAATCCAAAGCAGATTCCTCTGATTCTGTTGATCCAGAGTGATGAAATCTCAAATCCGATCTGTTCCGCTCCATCTTTCACCTCTCTTAATCAATGAGAATTCAATATGTCTCAAAGCACATGATTTAGTGATATAAAGCAAACCAAAGTACAAACTTGATCATGGTCATAGAGAATACTTAGTCAATAAAGAGATAAAACAGAGTAACTGCAAATGGCAAAACATCAAATAAAATGAAAAAGAGAGTATAAAGGACTCAGGAGCTGTGAACTCTAACCCCTTTACATGGAGAAAATACTAATACAATACAAATCTATGAAATGTTAATCCTAGTTAACAACATATTAAATATGGATAGAGCAGATAATTATACTGAAATAACCAATAATTCACCCAAAAAAACATAAATAGAAACTAAGCCAAAGACATCATTATATTCAATGTCCAATGCCATAGAGGAAAGAAAATATTTACAACGGTAAGTGAGCAAACACGGATGGAACAATGATATCATCCTCCCCCAGCTGGAAGAGGCATGTGAGAGTGGGGGGAAATATGACCAATAGGATAATAGCTTAGATATCAGCAGAGAGATAAACAATAGCCAAAATAGATACCCATTTGTTGGAGGACGATGAAAAGAAGTAATAATGGACTAATCAAAACATAGAAAGCTAAAAAGCAACAATTCAACATATTTAATCCCAAAAATAAAATAAAAAACTATATATATTTAAAAACCCAAAAGAAGAGATAAAGTATTTTGACAAATTTAGAAGCAAATCCAGATAAAGATATGACCTTTATCGAGAATCCTGAGCATATATTAAGCTAAAACTCACCTATAAACAACGGTGGAGCTGGGATAGAGAACTCCAAGTCGAGCCCCTTGAAGATTTTCATGCTCTAGTGACTGTTGCACATAACTTGTTAACCTCAAAAAAAGAAAAAGACTTTAAAACTGTCAATATGACTGTTATTTTATTTGTATCGTTAATAATAAGAGAGACGCTAAATGTAGAAAGATTGAAGCTTTTTCTCAGTAATGAAGGAAAAATGGCTCTAATTAGAGAGAGAAAGAGAAAAGGCGACAAATATCTACTAGCTGCTACTCGCTGATTGCCATGTTGTTTTGGATAGCAAAAATAAATAAATAAATATTCAAATAATCCTTCAATTATAAGACTGTTAAGTTTAATTTATAAAAAATATAAAATTAATTATTCTTTATTAAAAATTTGGTGGTAGATAACATAATAATTAATAAAATTAATATAATAATAAATATTAAAAAGAGAAAGTCTCTATTTTTCTTTCATTGGTCAAAGGCAAGAGAAGTTTGTAATTTTTTATTATTTTATAATGCAAGAGAGATTTTTTTTCCACTTTTAACGTTTAACAGGAAAATTTGAGGAAAAACACTTACGTAAATGTAGATAAATTAATATTTTTTATCATAATAGTTAAATTATTATAATATTTTAAAAATAATTATATTAATATTTTCATATAATGAATAATATCATTCATTATATATGATATTTATAATGAATATTCTCTGAAAAATTTATCAAATAACAAAAACAATTTATATAACATCATTTAAACATAAAAATTAATTTCTGAAAAAAAATTAAATTCTAATTAATTGTTTAAAATGTATTTCTAATGAAAAAAAAAACAAACCGAGACAAAAAAAAAGAATAAACTGTTTTCTTTCTCTTTTTTTTTCTTTCATTTTATTTATTTATTTATTTATTTATTTATTTACTTACTTATTTATTTATTTACTTATTTATTTACATTGAATGGCTGAGCATATAAAGGTTGAAAAATAAGTGCAAAAATGGGGATATTTTAGTGTGAAGGGGAAATAGGGGCCATCCAAATTTGCTCCCCAAAAGCAGCACAGATTCTTCTCTTCAATGATTTGAAAAGCTACCTATTTACATTTGGACTTTAGAATTTGAAATTCTTTTAAAAAATAATTTTAATACTAATAATAATACTTTTATTTCCCCTGTTTTACAAATTCCTATCTTCCAACATTTTATTTATTTTATTGTGATAGAGATAATTACAAATATTTTTGAGGCAATGATTTGAAAGGTTGGTCCATTATCATATAATGTTAATATTATTATAAAATAAGGTAGAAACTGATGTCATATGGGGGCAATATACGGTCTAATTTGGTGGTTGAAGAAGGTCTCATTATTCCTCTAATTTATTAATATTACTACTTTGACCTTTTTCTTCCTTTTTTTAATGGGTTTTACATAAAAGTGAAATTTAATTGTGCCATCTTCCATCTTTATAGTTATGCTGCTATTTCTCCACTTATCCTATCCACTCTTAAAATGCTTTTTTAATATATAATTCATTTTTCAAATAATTTAAATAAGTATAGTAGAGATGTATTATAAGAACATTTTATTTTATTTACAATATCAAATTTTGAATATTTGAATTTACTATATTCATATAGATATCATTTACATTTTTTTATTTATTTATTAATACAAGTTAATCATTTATATTTAAATTAACAAACAATTTAATATGTAAAAAAGAAAAGAAAATAGATTAGACTACATGAACCTAATTGTTGAAGGCTTAGCTCACATCTTCTTATATTTAGAATTTTAGTTTCCTTGTTTATTGTTATTGTTTTAATTATTTGATCAATACATTACAATAATTGTTAGTTTATTAATTTTGAATAAGATAATCTATGTATGTCATCGTTGCAAGTAACCAAAAAAAATTACTCCCTTTAGGGAAAGATGAAATGCAATAAGCAATTTTCAATTGATTTGGAAACAATCAATCAAATTCAATAATTAATAGTGTTATTTATGTCTTCGTCTACAAATAAAGTATATGTGGATGATACTTGAACCGAGTCCTAGTGGAGTGCTTGGTCTGGTTTCTGTGCCCCGAAGAGTCGGAGGCGGCTGGGACGCTGTGCAGCAGCGGTGGAATCCGGCTGAAACGGTCCCAATGCCAACAGGCTCAGCTTCTTCTCTCCGTCTGCATCGCTCTCCCATCAACAAGATCGAACGATTCAGCTAGTGATCTTTTCGCTTAGGAGAATTACAATTTTAACCTCTATAGAAGAGAGAATAAGATGAAATATTTGTATTTGTTGGTCAATTCGGTTTCCATATACCGAATTGTATGGTTTATAGTTTATACATAGATAAATATAATCAGAAATAGGTAGTGCTGTTTTATCATATAATAATGAAGAGTTTGATTACTTTTAAATGGTGGTATAAAAATAAGTAAACAAAATAATAACAAATTTATGAACAATTATTATTATTTCAATTATTGAATTTGGTGACCCTTTTTTAAGATTACATTGCGTCATCTAATCATGTCACAAACCATATGAAACTGACCACCATTTTCGGACAGATAATCAGTTCTCTTTTACTGTTATTCCTTTGATTTTTTTTCAAACATGACCGGTAAGAGATTTCGCTTCCCAGCGATGGAAAACTTCAAGTGTCCCAATAAATTCAAGCAAGAGAAAAGAAACTCCATAACAGAGATGAATATTACTTTACTTTTTTTGCATCACAATCACAAATGACACTGGAAATCCTTTGTTCAGAGCCAAAGATATATTCTATAAACGCTTTTATATAATGCTTCTATATATAATTATGCAGATGATACAACAAAGAACATACGGAAGCGAGCAGCATAGCAAGTATGCTTCTCTTCTCTTCGTTCCCTTATCAGGCTTTTATCGTGTACGAAAAAGATTCTGCTAATATGTAATGGTATGGGATACATACTTCCTACGCAGATATAAGGGGATAATTAGTCGATTGCAAGAGTAGGAATCAGATAAAATAAACAAGAGCTTATGGTATAGGATACATACTTCCTATGGGGAAAAACAGTGCTGGGTCTTGTGGAGAAGAATAGTCAACATTTGGGCCGAGAGGGATTATCCCAAATTCATTTATACTAGGATGGCTTCCATAGTAATGACGTTTGATGTGTTGCACATTCACTGTGCTGCTCATCCCTGGAATTTTGTAAACGTCCTTGGTATAGTTGAACAGATTTGGATACTCTTACTATATTGGTAAACGTCCATAGCTATGGTCTGTTTTTGATTCATCCCTATTCTGCTAGCAATAAGAATGCTTTGCCCTTTTTCACCGAACAAAGCTGAAAGGGAAATGTTAAAAATTACACGGAGTGGATATGTAAATTTTATTTGAAGGCAAAGAAATCAGAGCGAATTTCAGGGGCTGAAGCATAGGGACATGGAGAATTCTACTTTGAGATTAATGGAATTCAAGCTTATCCCCCCACACCCAAAAAAAAAAACAAAGCCTTGAAATCCTAATATGTTACTAATAACATCTGCTAAAACTTGAGAGGATAAACAGGGAATTCAAGTTGCCATGTCATTGATGCAAACTTTTATTATTGTTTTCACAAATTAGTTATAACTTTGCATTCCCCAACACGTCATGAGCACTAGATTATCCAGTAGTAAGATAATTTTAATTTTCAGTTGACAGCAAAAATGTCAACTTCAAGGAAATGAGATCAAAAGATTTAACTTCTTTCTGAAGAAACCTGGAAAAGATTCACTCTTGAAGGGAACTTCATGTCTTGGCGTGCTAACTGCTTCAACGGGAAAGCTTTTGCGTGAAAATATAAACCACTTTCCCAACGGCCAAGTTGCTAGCCAATTCCTTTTGAGATCCTTTCATTCAGGTCAGATACAGAGCAAACTTGTCAGTCTCATAACATGCAGTAACAAATGCTGCCAAAGTTACACGATCAACATTGCGATCCTTATCCAATAATCTATGAAAGAATAATGCTGCTATGCCCACTTTCTTTTCACTACAAAGCTTCCTGATCAAGGTGTTAACCGTCCGCAACCAAAGTTTTTTCTCTAGTCTTTCCAACATAACCATGGCAATGGCAGAATCACCTTTCTTGCAATACTCGTAAGCTAGTGTCAACCGAGTTACTTCACATGGAGAAAGCCCCTTATCCATCATGGTTTCATATAACTGGCATGCCTCCGCCAACCTAGACTCTTTGCAAAGTCCACTGATCAATGTTCCATATGTGATGCTATCTGGTAAACAACTGTGGTCATTCATCTTGTTGAAAAATTTGAGTGCCATGCTTAAGTTTCCGTCTCGGCAATACCCACTTATCATCGATGTGTAAGTTTCCTTGGTAGGAACCAATCCGAGTTTCAAAGCTTCTTCAAAAAGGTTCTCACTTTCTTTCATTTTCTTTTTCTTACAAAATGCGGCAATCAATGTGTTATATGAATGCATATCAGGCTGGAGGCCAACTTTAACCATCTTACAAAAAAATGCCAAAGCTAGCTCCGTATTAGCCTGCTTGCACTGCTCAGTAATGAGAATAGTATAAGTAACTCTATCAGCTTGCAATCCATGTAGAAGGCCCTTCTCAAGCAGTTCATAGGCTTCTTGAACCCTACCCTTTTTACACAGGCCATCAATTATTGCATTATATGTATATATATTAGGAGTAAAACCTTCTTTATCCATTAGATGCATCAATTCATATGCTCGTTCGAAACTTCCAATTTTACAATGGCCATTAATAAGAGTGGTATATGTGTTGGTGTTAGGAACCAAACCTTGCTCTTTCATTCTGCTGAACAACATCTCTGCCCGATTCAACTTCTCCTCATTGCAATATCCACCGATCATAGAAGTATATGTATGGACATTTGGTTTGTATTTATCACTCCGAACAAGCTTAAGAAACAATCTAAAAGCCTTCTCAGTCCATCCTTTCTTGCAAAGCCCATCAATCAAAGCAGTGTGCACATACACATTAGGCTTCCATCCTTCCCTAACCATTTCTTCCAATTTTCCAAAGGCTTGCTTTATACTACCCCTCTTAGACAACCCATTTATCAAACAAGAATAATTGACCAAATTAGGCTTAAACCCCATCTTCGCCATTTTATCAAAATACCAGAGTGCTCTATTCGAAAAACCCTTGTCACAAAACAAACTGATAATTAATGTGCAAGTAGCATTATCAACAATGAACCCTCTTTCAAGCATTTCCTTCAGCCACTTATCAACCTCAGAAACCCTACCCGCTCTACAATACCCAACTACCATCAATTTGTAACTACTAAAATCCCCGCACACACCTCTCTCAGACATTTCATCAAACACTTTCTCCAAATAATCAAGCAGCCCCATTTCGAAACCAACAACCAATATGCAATTCAAGGTTTCAGCATTTAGCCTCAAGCCATGATTTGCATCTCAAGAACCATCCCAACAGCCTCCTTTAACCTCTCAACTTCAGCAAAATTTCTAACCAGACACTGCATTACTTCATTACCTCTATCAAAGTTACCATTTTGAATCAAAGAAGTGGCAGCTACAATGTAAAGCCTCATGAAATGTTTAAACTTATAGATCTCAAGTACCCAGTAAAAGAAGCTTAGAGCAACCATGGAACCAGATTCGTTTGCCAGATGTGCAACGATTGAAATGGCTTGTTCATGGGTCAAAGAATAAGGATTGATGTTAAGGTTGAGCTTTGGAGGTGAAAATCTGGAGAAGGCCTGTCGTTGATACGATTCATAGACTTGAGAACAGATTGCTTTAATAGAAGAATGAGTTTCTGGTGATGGAATGGAGATTGGGTATCAATGGGATCCGCCCTAAAATGGAGATGAAATTGGTTGAGAGTGAAGAGAGGATTGGGTGATAATCTGGTATTAATTCCATACGATCTGAGAATCATTAGAAAATGGCAAAAAGAGGGTGATTATGACAAAGAGAATGAAGACTGTAATTTACAACGTTTTTACTCTGTTCCGGATCAAAAGCGGAAGTGTATGATTTTATTCGGTTCCATGAAGTCATGAACTTGACAAAGAAAATAAAACTTAAAAATCGAATTTAAGAAATTGGGCCATAGCTATAATGAAATTTAAAGGGTCCTTAGTTTGGGCTTTCCTTTGTGATTTGTTAGATCCAAAATATCTGTTCCGACTTCTGACCCGAGTCTTGATTATTTGGTGCAAAGATCAGACCCCATAGTAAAAAATGGACTTCTCTTGTTATGTTCTCCTGCTTTTATCATTCTTTTGGGGGTTCTCCAGACCCGGCTAAGCTTGAGTACCACAGGGGTCCTGTCCTTGTCTTCTCCGATTCCTAACCCTTCTGTTGCTGAGTGGTGAAGCACTGTCAGGCTCTATGCCGACCAAACAGGGTCAAACGTCGCTGATATCATTTCCCCTGCGGGGTAGTTCTTTGATTCAAATCTTTCCAATGCTCCTCGTCTTAATCGTTTATCCATGCATCTCACCATAAAACATTGCAGTCACTTCCCATAGAAGTATTAAACTGCGATTACAGATGTCTCCGGTATTGCGGTTGAAAATGTTGTGGACAGTGTGATTTTTTTTAATAATTATGGTTTTAAATTACATATACAATTATGGAATTACAGTGTATACTTATACTGCTGCGTTAAGACCGTAATTTAGTATTAGCCATTGCCTTTCTATCCTCAAAACGGCCTCTATTTGGTGTTAACTTCAGCTGTTGTCCTGGTTGATGAATTCTGTTTTGCGGTTTGCGCCTTTCATTACTTCACCTTCCCAGCCACTGTTGGTGTAATATTTCCTTCTGCTTGGATTGGTTACTGTGGAAATCACTTTCCGGGCATGTGTGTTTATCCATTTGCCTGGCCTGCAAGGATGCCACCACCACTGAGTGCCAAAGTAAGTAACACCATAATGCACCCACCGAACGGAGATGTTGGAGTCGACGGGGGGATCAGTGTTATAGCTCATGAGACGGCCCAAACTGCGAGTAACCCACTGGTATATGCATTGTATGCTGGTAACAATCCAACTGCAGAAGGTGAAATCACCAACTTGTGTCAAGATATGTACGGTTCCGGTGTTGGTGGTGCGTTTGTGGGTCAAGTTTCAACGGATGCAGCTGGGAATGGCTACAATGTGAATGGAGATAAAGGAAGAAAGTTCACGATTCAGTGAGTGTGGAATCCTGTTAAGAAAAGATGCTTTGGACCTAATGCCATGGATTAAAAGTGTACCACGTATAACAGTTTAGCCTCTTACCAGCTATTTAGGCAAGAAGAAAGAAAGGTACTTAGTTAGAAGCATAAGCGGCTGGTCGGCAATATAAAAGAAAGTGAGCAGCCTTGTTTATAAATATTATATGTAATTCTAAGAAAGCATGAAAGGGATGATGATCCTTTCCTTGCGTTCTTGTATGCAGTAGAGTTTGAATAAATAAATGCAGAATTCAACTGTTAATTAATGCACGTTATAAATTGAAACACCAGTTACTTTTGCTGGTATACCTGTCTTTTCAGTACCAGCCCAACTTCCATTACCTTTTCCTTGGCTTTCAATATTAGCAAAAAGTCAATATAATGGCATAGATTTTGATAGATAAAAAATGAATATAATAAATAAAGAAACCGAAGATCCATAATTGCTATTTCTATTCATTAGGCATTCCATGCCATGAAAATATGGATGTTCTATTTGCACAACGCAAGTTAAAAAAGAATTGCTTTGATTAAAATTCTCGGGCAGGGCTGAAGAGAGATGTGAAACTCACAACAATTCGGAGCAATGAATACATGGATGGTTAATAATCCTGGCTGCGAGGCTCTCTGGCTCTGGAATGAGGGAAGATGTCACGCTGTTCCAGAAATGAAATGTGAGAGACTCGGTCAGAATATTGTTGAATAAAGCATCTTGCTGCAATTTCTCAGTTTCTGTTGTCGGGGCAACAAAGTATCTGTTTTTGATCCAAATTAGTAATTGCAGAAGAGAAGAATTTAATACTTTACAGGTAAAGAACTGCAACTAGTGTAGTGCAAACTGCAAAGAGTCATAAGGCAAGCAAGAGAAAATTTTCACGTGCAAATTGTAAACATTTGATCTCATAATGTGCATTAGTGTGGCCGGTGAGGATCATTATTATAGGTAATACCTTGTATTGGCTACGGAATTCTAGGTTCTAACAGAGGTAGGCAAGCTGAGAGAAAAACCGAACATTCTAAAGAGATTTAAAGATAACGGACACGATTTAATGACTCAAGACTCTACTAATTTAAAATCTTCCATGGGACACCCAAGACTATACTTATTTAAAATCTAGTTCTACCCAAAAACTCGCAGAATAGCTCGGTTAGCTGGAAGCCAGATGCCGAAAATGAGTATAATAACAAAAGAAAATAAATCAGTCAAACTCCTGCACGGTAAAATCAATTGCCATGGTGCAAAAAATATATATAAAGTTGGAGTTTGAGATGCTTCACTAGTCAGATTTTGCAATGATAAGAGCCATATATCTTGTATGAACAGGGTTTGATACATGTGCATACATGTAAGCCCAAAGAGTTGGAATTGTAAGATACGCATGAATTTAAGAGATCATTTTCAAGAGTAGGGATATACATGAAAAATACCTTGTAATATGCCGAGAACTAATAGGGAAGAAAACAGAGGAAGGTTGCACATTCAACTCTGGCTGTTTGATGGATTTGTTCTTTTTGTTCAAAAACCTTTTTGCAACTCTTGATAGAAGATCAGCCCCATTTGCTCTCAATTGGGTATCATCATAAGTCAAATAAAATTCCTTTAAACATTCCATTATAAAAGGACTGCACAAAAGAATGCAAAAACTAAATATAAATCATAGACTTAAAAGAATGCACCATGGTTATTCTCAAACAAGGTATCCATAAATAAATGGTCCAAGAAATTATCAGAACATGCCTAACCACAGAACAGAAAAAGGTAAACAGCTTTCTATTGTAAAATTTATTTAAAGAAATGAAACAAGAAGAAACTTCTTTTTTGTTTTACAATAAATGAACATGAAAATCTGAGATAAAGACAGTTGGCAGTTAAGCAGTACAACTCTTCAAAATACTCGATCTGCCAAAGTCCTTCAGACAAATAGCAATTTCTACAGTTGTACTCTGAATACAAATAGTATCCATGTGATTTTAAGAATTAATACAAAACATACGTATTACCTTTCTGATCAATATATATATGTGTGTGTGTGTGTCACCTAAAAATCCAAGCATAAGCAACAGTAATTTCAACCAAACCAGATAAACTGGAAACAATTATTGAGAACATAAGAACCAAGTGCAGCTTTTACCTATGCTTTCTAAATGCCATTAAAGCTCCATTCAAAGAGCTTCCCTGGTCTTCCTGGCCAACAGAATTATTGAGTGCCAATAATGGTTTCAGAATTATAATATCAGAATCAAGATAAATGCCACCATATCTGCAAAACAGATAAACATGCAGGAAAAAGAGCAGAAGGAAAACAGTGTAAATATTGAAACTAAAAGGTGGTAGTCTACCAAGTCAACTCTGTTATGTAGCAAAACAGATTAAAACAATCATGGCAGCAAATTGATAAGACGATTAAAAATTTCATCCTAAACCTCACAAAAGCATGTGCATAGATGAGCAAGCTTACTTGTAAAGGGCAGCAAGTCGTACAAGCTCACTATAATGGGTAGCATAAAACTGTCTTTCTCCATTCAAACCACACGGAAGCAAATACGTGGGTAGGTGTATCTTTCAACAATTCATCAAGGTTTGGCATTGCCACAGCAACTTTGTAACTGTGATGAACAAGAAACCATTAATAAAAACATAGAAATGATAAAAAAAAATGCAGAACCAGTACAAAACTAACCCATCTTTCACAAAGCTGTCTTTGAAAAAATCAAGCTCAATAGTTTCAGAGAACACTAGGACACAAACATCTCTATGCTGAGCAAGCAGACTCTCCAGTCCTCTTTGGTGCCTAACACTATACATCCACGGAGGGGAATTCCATATCATAAAAACTCTAATATCACACTTCCCTTTCTTAAAAAATGCGTCCACAAAATCAGTAAAAGACAGCCTAGAGTCCAATCCAGGATAGTAGCCCCATCTCTTTCCGTCAGCATATATATGCCCCGAAAATTCCGTGTTACTCTTATGAGCTTCTAAATCTACATTCTTGACTTCATTCTTCCTAATTCTACTCTCATTCCAATTTGTATTTGAACTCAAAACATCTTTACCACTACTACTACTTTCTCTTTCGCTTAACACATTCCTCGCATTTTCATTTTTCTTACTCGCACTGTCTTTCTTAACCTCCGAGCCCGTCTTGGAGATCCCCAAGGGCTTCTTCCCAGTAAAAGGGACCTTCTTGAACTCACTCAAAATCCACTTTTGCACCATTTTATCCCCTCTAGTCAAGCCAGTAACCCCAACCCCATCAGGGTCTTGCAGCAAAGGATTATTCAATGGATTCAAAATCTCGAAATTCGATTTAAACATTCTATCCCTTCTCAAGAAATCACCTTTCTTATCGAACCAATCACCCCATTTCTCCCTCAAAGGATTCACTTTTCTCCCAGCAACTTTCTTCACCAGCAAAGCATCTTCAACACTTTCCACTTCAGTCATTTTCCTTCTAACTTCTTGATCTAATGGGATATCATCGGATCCAAAGGTTGCCTTAATTTTATCATCATCCCCTACAAATCCATCGTTCAAAAACCCTCCATCGTAATCCCAATCTTGAATCGAACGTTTATTGAAAGCTCTTCTAATTGACCCACTTAAATGGTCGAAATAAAAATGCCCAGAGGAAAAGATCCTGTCTTTATTATTCATCGTCGTCATTTCTGGCTCCTCTTGCTCGACTTCATTTCCGTTGTCATCATCGGTTATGTCGTTTTCTTCGAGGGTGTCGAATTCGTCAATTTTGTCGTCAGTTGAGGA